AACGATAGCCGCCCTTGAAACGAGGACTGACCTCTTTATCAAAATGTTGAAATGGAATTGACCTAAACAGGAATTTAAAACAGGACTGACCCGAACAGAATTTAAACGGGACTACCCGAACAGAATTTAAACGGGACTGAACCGAACAGGAATTTAAACGGGACTGACCCGAACAGAAATTTAAACGGGACTGACCCGAACAGGAATTTAAACGGGACTGACCCGAACAGAAATTAAAATCATGGGACTCACGCTAGTGGGACTGACCCACGGCTAGCAGTGGAATAAATGAAATGCTCACTGGCGGACTCACTTCACGCTCCAGTGGCTATGAAAATCAAATACTTACTGGCGGGATAAACTCAAACAACAAAAAAACTCCTAGCCAACATCACTTGTTTCATTAAACCCAACATGATAAAATCAAATAAAATTGTTAAACCGCAATTATAACCTACAAACAAGAATTAATCTATCCAAGAAATCACATAAAATATGCAAACAGAGGATTAAACTTAAAAGGGTAAAATTAGCTCAATTTTCCCAGATTTTGCCCACAGCGAAACAAAAGGAAATTTAGGGGCCAAAGTGCAATTATTGAAAGATTCTCATGCAAGAACATGCAAATGTTTTAGGCAAACCACCGAATCAAGCTTTCTTTGTTTCTGCAATATACTGAGCTTCTCAAGTGAAATCCTAATGTCACTAACATCTCAGCCAATCAGTCAAAGCCTCGACATTAAACCCAAAACAATTACACAATTCAACAAGCTAACAACTTAAAATGAGGTTATGCAAATTCTGGAAATGCAAACAATGATTCGATAGCCTTATTACTCTTTGCTGCAACTTTGCAGCTGTAAACCTTTATAACTTCATGCAACTTCCTTCGAATAATCACAAGAACATGAACCAAACTAAACTAAACTGAACTACCCATCCCTCTTGCATGAATTAAACATGAACTAGCATCAAGAATACGAACTAAACTACCCAACTTCGGCCAACAAATCTTTCAAAACAGGAACGTGTGAAGCAAAAGAAAACACAAGTAAGGAGAAAGAAAACACTTTAATCCCTTACAAAGAACCATTTAGTAACCCAGGCAGCTTACGGAAATATGAAACAGAGCTTCAAATTCCCTACACCCTTTTTCAAGCACAAGGTTAACATGCAAACAGCGGAAACCTAAGTTGAGAAAACTAGCAAATTCGAATGCATTCATGGGTTGACTTTGAGCAATTTTCGGCTTCCATATACACGGGAAAACAGCCATGAATATTAACTCAAATGAATCCTGCAAACCTGTCGACTAATCCCACAAACGCAACTCAACAAAGATCAGGCAATGACACGAGAACAAAGATTCAACGTCCCCCATCCCAAACAGATTTTCAAAGACAGGAAAACATCTTTTATTGCTTCTACTAGGTTCTCGCATGCCTTCATGAACAAATTTTTAAATCATACCAACCAACCCCCAAGCTGGCGGAATGTGAGACTTACACCTCTTATCGCTAAAATCTAACAATTAGAATTTCGTCAACCCAACAAACAGCAACCAGCGAGACATTAAGACAGCAATCATGATAAAAGCCCAGGAGCCAAACAAAATGTCACAAGATTCATGCCTTTAAATCAGATTCATGCAAAAGGAAATCTAAGAAAACGAAACTCTTCGAACTTTACTTTTTCATGAGAAACAATTACTCGGACAGCATGGAACTTGACTGACCATTTGTTTTCCCCCACTCGCCAATGCAGATAAACTACCTTTCAATTAAATTTTCAAACAAGCACTTCATTGAACGGGAAATAGGCATTAAAATTTCACCAGGTTTTTGTTCGAATTGAAGTGTGACTAGCCCCAAAAATTTGTCAAAAACCAAGGAAATTTAGTCCAATCACGCACGTAGAACATGTATGTTCAAAATTGTGGACAATCAGTAGGCAATTTGCAATACACAATTCCTGGTTCTGAGAATCTTAAGGGCCTAAACTTGAACAGAAAATGAAACTCTAAATGAAGAGGATGACTTACAACGCTTCCTCAATGAAGATTTACAGGCGATGGTGGATTCCAGGGAGATGATGGCGGCCTCCTTCGAGCGGCGGCGGCTTCAGTGGCGGTGAATGCAAAAACGAACAGCAGTGGCAGAAGAGATGCGCCGATGCTCTTTCTTCTCTTTCTCTTGACCGCCGTCAATTTCCTTCATCCAAGCTTCTTTTCTTCCTCCTCTGTTTTCCAGTTCCTCCGTAGCTCCTCCTTTGTTTCTCTTTTTTTCTACTTCGTTCGTTTTTTCTGTTTCTGCTTTGCTGTTCCGCTCCTCCGTCAGCCGCCGCCCCTTTCCTTCCTCTCTTTGCTCTGTTTTTTCCTCTGATTTTCCTCAAGCTCCCGCCGCAACTCTTGTCTCATTTCTTTTTTTCCTCTAGCCCCCAAAAACCTAGCCGCCGTCATAGAATTTTTCCGTTTCCTTGTTTTCCTAGCCGTCACCCCCTCTGCCCAGCTCTCAATCCCTCTTTTCTTCTCTCGGCTGCCTCCTTTCTTTTTCCCAATTCTTCCAGTCAACCTCCATCTGTTTTTCCTACTCTGTTCTTTTTGGCCGAAGCCTCCGCCGACCTCTCTCGCGTTTCTTTTTTCCGTCCCTTTTCTTCCAATCGGCCCCCCCTGTTTTGCTCTCACGGAAGTTCCCTCTCCTTTCCCCAGATTTCTCTTCTCGCCAGGCTCCCAGACCTCTCTTGCGTTTTTACTCTTCTTTTTTCCTTTTCCCGCAGCCCCCTGTTGCCTTTCTTTTTCCTCTGTTTCTTTTCCGTCAGCCTCCCCCAAAACTTCCTCCGTCACGGCTCGCTTTTTTTTCCTCTGGCTCCACCCCAAATTTCTTGCTTCCGTCTCCCTCTCTGTTTTTTCATTTTTTTTTTGTTTCTCCCGTAGCCTCGCTCCAATTTTTCTTCTTTTTGTTTTGCCCGTAACCTCTTTTTTCTCCCCTTGCACCCGTAGCCTCCCCGTAGCTTCAACCTCTCTATCTTTTCATCCGCACCCCCTCTCTCGGCCTTTCTCCTAATTTTTTTTCATTTTCCCTTTGGCTCCCCAAATGTGTAACACCTAACCCCTTTGTTGTCCAACTAGAATGAGGACATTTGTCCCACATGCAAGATTCCACTTGTCATTTTTACCTTTTCTTTCCTTTTTGTTTTTTTTTCTGGAATTTAATTATGAAGACAAAAATAAACTAGAACAATAAATAAAATAAATAAAAATAATAAAATAAAATGAAATGAAAACCCTAAAATCGAAACAAATAAAGTTAAAATTAAATTAATTAAGCAAATAAAGTTAAAAACAAAAATTTGGTATCTACATTATCTGTTTATTCTGTTTGAGACGAGGGTGTGCTTCATCACACTCATTCTTTTATCTGTCTGCATGCCTATTTACTATGCGAATTTGAATCTATTATCTATATCTGTATCTGTTCTAACGTCATTTGGAAGCTTGTAGTCAACGAGCTTTTTGTGACCTTTGAGCTCAAATCCTGTGGCTAAATTACTTGAGTCGAGCCGGGAAGGGCCTGGTCAATTAGATAGTGAACCACAGTAGTTGTTCTAGGAAATCTTTGGTATTGGAGACTCTGGATTTCCGGTATACTCGAGTATTACCACTTTTGTTTCTATTGAGGTGTTCAGGCCCGGTAAGGGGTAAGGTTGGTGGATAGAATTTGGTGTAAAGTGGGGGTCTATGGATATGGTTGTTCTTCATACATTGACGGAGAGTTAACGGGTTTGGATCAAGTACTGCAACAGGAAATTTTGGGCTCCTGAGAGCCACCCGTATCCTTTCTATCTAAGGTGTTTGTTCATTTCTTTATTTGATTTGCATATGTGACTAATTGAATATGAAGTTCCATGATTCTTAATTGCTATTATTTTGGTACTTCATTGAGCGTAAGCTCACCCCCTTCCCATTATCTTTGTTTTCCTTACAGGGAACTACACTTTGAACCGTGATTTTGAGAAAAGGGTTGAGCTAGTGTAAATGCCCTTTTGTTAGTTCTTCTGTAATCAAAACCCTAATTGTCTTTTAATTAAGTATCACGCTTTTAATTGTAAAGTTTTCAATGTATGTATATAAGTGTTTTATCATGTACATTAAGTGTATTCATTTGAGATGGTACATTTGTGTTTGTTCAGATGCTACTTGTAACCATTGGACGATCGGACGAGCGCAGCATTTGAACAAGGAAAGAAATTTCTGGCGGGAACTGTTCACCAAATCCGGCCGTGTATCTGGCCAGTTCTTAGCCGATATCTGGCCGGATTAGCAGGGGTTTTTGAAAAATTTTTGGGTTACTCACTGCCTCATATTCGGCCAGCGATTCGGCCAGAAATCCAACCATATCTTAGCCGGATTGTGATGTGTCTGCTTTCCATTTGCATTTTCGTCTTCATTTTCATTTCCGTTGAAGCATTTAATCAAAGTACCATGGTACCTTTTGGTGTAGAACTCATGTTTCTCAACTTAGTAGTCTTCGATTGAGGGTTCTCTTGGGGATTCGTTTGTGCGCTATATCGGGTTTGTGTGATTCGGCTCCGTAGTCCTGGTGAGAGTTGGGCAGGCGGTCCGCCGAACTCTTTGGTTCGCCTTAGGGTGAGGTGGGGCTGTCAAACTATTAATATCAGGATAGACAGCATCTATTAGTCTTTAAAGTGCATCAGTTTCACTAGTATACTTGATCAAAATGGAAGATGATATAACAACTGAATCAACACAATCTGTTTGTTCTAAACCATCTCTTATTTTCAATAGAAATTGAGTAAACAATGGATCTAATTTTGCTCTCATATTTTCAGTTAACTATAACTTTTGCAACTGTGGCAAAAAGGAGAATTAATCAAGCAAGCATTAATAGTTTCAACCTTAGTTCCACTGCAAACAATTGGTAGCATTTGCCTGAAATCTCCTCCAAGAACCACTACCTTTTCACCCAAAATTTCACTTGAATTCATGATGTTTTAAGCAAATCATCCAATCCTTCAATACTTGCTTGTTTAGATATAGGAGTTTCATCCCAAATGATCAACTTTGATTCTCTTATCAAAGTTGCTAAAGAGTTTTGCTTACTCACACGACGAGTTGATCGATCAGAAATATCTATTGAAATTTTGAATCGTGCGTGAGCTATTCTTCCTCCACAAAGAATTGAAGCTGCTATGCTGGATGTAGCAATGGGTAATACAATATAACCTTTTGACCTAATATCTACCAGTAATGCATGGTATAAAAAGGTTTTTCCAATATCTTTCGAACCATCAATGAAAAAAGCACCACTTTTATTGCTGTAAACTCTCTCAGAAATGAGATTAAATGCTTCTTTTTGCTTTTGATTCAAGAAAGCACAAGCATCTAGATCATCTGATGTAAAAACTATGTTTCTTTCTGCATTTAATGCTCTTTTTTGACTTTCCATATCATCTATTGAAAAATCACGGGGACACAAATTGAATAAAGAAATGTTTTTCCCCATAGATTGTAAGAAACCATTTATTTGGTCAAGTACTTTTGTCCTAACTTGACTACCTGTTAATGTTTTATATCTAAGAAATTCTTAGACATAACATTTTCAAATTTAGTCCAGAATGCTATTGGATTGTTGGGCATGAATAAACCAGCAGGCTTGCAAATAATCTGCTCATTTCATATGGCATATGAAAGTGAGAAGCTTCTTACAAATAAAGTTTCTAGCCATCATCATGCTCCAATAATCCCTAGCAGTGCTGTTTCATGGAAAGTCTGTACTTGAACTCCACCAAAAGTTCTCAAGTCAGCAAATGTGGTTGGACATTTAACTTTTGTCAACAAGAGTCTCAAATAGTATTTTTCATCTTCACCAGGATGTGCAGCAACTATTCTATCTATAGAATCTCTTTGTTCACCAATTTTCCACATTCTTTTGCTTGGTTTCCAAACAAAATATTCTAAAAATTGCACATAGGTGCAATTTAGATCCTAAGCTTCCTCTTTGTTCTACTCATGTAAAAAATTTAGTTAACATTGTTCTTCTCAATTGATTATTATATAGAATATTAAACAAATTAGTATTCTTCTTGAAGTTCATTGGTTGTTGGTTTTCAGATGCAATTGTAAGTGGATAATGGCTGGTTTTATTTCATTAGTTGAAAATCTATAGATTCTCCAAGTAGCCTCTGGAGGAGATATCCATCTTGGTGATACATACTGTTTGATTTCATTAATTTCACAATCTGGACTGTCAGCAATAACTTGAAAACTGATTCTGTCATATCCCTTAAAAATGTACTTGTAAATATATTTGATTGCCTTCACTGTTGAGCATATCTCAACATTGATTTGGCAGTCAATTTTTGCAAGTAGATATTGGTTGTAAGGGACAATCCAACACTTATCGAGCCATGCATTTCTCACTTTAATCTTAATGTCGTTATCTCTTCGTCTATATTTTAGATATGCATCAATTGTTTGAATAGTTGCCTCACAGAACTCTTTTGGACAAGAGTTTTTACAGATTCCATTTCTCTTCATGCAAGCATTTTGTGGAACTGCTGAACCACAAGGACCATGGAACATATGCTTGAGCACCATTTTTATATGTGTGAAAATTTTTGCTTGTTAGGTGTCTCAACACAAACTGTTTTGTCATATTAATTTGGAGTATATAGTTTGTGCTTAGATTTTAAAATCAAAAAGGAAATACACATGAGGCATACCTATTCAAAAGCAACAATCTCACCAAAAATATGTTTTTTTAAAGTTCATCTTTCAACTTTTCTAACTTAGCATGAAAGACGCTCGAAATTAAATTTGGCCAATTTTGTGTTTCATTTGTGGGAATCAGATGCACATTTATTTTTGGCCAATTAGGATTACGGGTCATTGTCAAAAAAAGATCAGGCATTGTGAATTTTTGAACCACAACCATTGCATCCATGTATTTGCGATGCATATTTCTAGGACCTCTTATGAAACTTGGTGGCAATATAATTCACTGGCCAATATTTGACCCTCAAGTTTCTCTAGTAGCCACTGCATCAATTGTGCCATTGAAAAATTCTCCCTGATTTCTTCTTGTTGTGACCTGAAAAAGTCAAGTCTCTGTTTCTCGTGATCTTCAAATAACCATCAACTACATATTGCTAAAATAATTGAGAAAATGTAGAAGAAGAGATTCATCTGAATCTCTGATCTAAAGCTTGTACGCGTAATATTCCCTCAATGAAACAAAAGCTGGATCCTCTTCCATTCTATGTATTACTGTAAAGTGGTAGCATATCATTTTTAGAATAACTATAAATTGTGTACTCCTAATACTACATAAACTAAAATTTTGTTTCTAACTGATTAATTTCTTCATTGTGAAGCATTCATTAGCACTTAATGCATTCGTTGGTGCAATCATTTCAGTTGATTCTTTTTTCCTTCTTTCTTTTGTGTGTTTCTTCCTTTTATTCCTTCTTTGGAATTCCTTGATGCCAACCAAGCTCTCTAAATGGAAATATTAAATAGTACTATAATGGATTATAGCAGCTGTAATAATACTCAATATTGCGTGGATGCCCACCATGAGTATACACTTGTATGTTATGACGGCTATTCTCACCATTTTCTTCTCCTTCTACCCATAATGCTGCAACCTATGATTTTGTTGAGTTGTTGTATACTCTCTAGTCTACACTAGGAAGTGTACGCAACATTGTTTTGTAGCTAAGTTAGGAACGTGATATAGGCTCCTAAAGAATCGAGCGTATAGATTATGCTCGAGAATAGTCATATTTTCTATATTACACTTTTAGACAATCTAAGATAGGCTGCAAGACATTAGATGCCTGATTCTAAATATCATGAAAATATAGTTGCATGTTTGTGTCTGAACCATTTCTTGGTATCAAGTCATTTAAAATATGATACACTTGTCCTTGAATTCTAAACATATAAACTTATTGTTTTGTCTACATGGATTCTTATCACATTTAACACCAAAAGAGATGTAAACCCAAATTGATTGTTGTAAGTCCTAATGAGCTCCCTGAATGCTTTTGCTTCTTCTAAAGATAGAGTCAATAGCCTTCTTAGAATATCAGGAAGTCTATTGTATGCAAATACAATATCACCATTAGAAACACAAAAGTTTGCTATTTCAGAGAAAAATTTTTTAGCACCACAGTGTAGACAATCTTTCTGCTTTGGCAAAGTGTCAGGAGTATCAGCTATTAAATCCAATAATTCTTTTTCTTTCCTAGCAATCCTTCCTAAGAGAAAACAGAAAATAATAGCTGAAACAACCAAAAATTTATATGCTTATTAATAGCATTGAATTTAAACTAATAAAAAAGACCAAACCTAACCTAAACATTTTCTTTTATTTTGACCAGGAATTCTTTGATTAGCCGATTAGCTGATTCACCAACAGGTTCATTGCTAACTACTAAACACTCAAATGTAGAAGTTCAGATATAGTTATCATAAGAATCTATGGAAACTAAAGAACAATTTCCTTGAAAGTAGAGGACACTACCTAAGTGTCCATCCATAAGCACAGAAATACTACTAATGGAAGTAAATGGCTGGGTTATAAGTGTATCTCTACTCAATTTTGTAGTAGAGTCACATTGAATAGATTCTGTGCATAAGATTGTGCTCTCTAGTAATTGTACCACTTAGCAGAGCAAATTGTCTACTTTTTTGTGATGAAGAATGGATTAATGCCTGTTTTTTTTTTTGCTTCTCACACTAAGTATTATATGAGCGAAATTTTTTTGATTTCCACCTCAAATAAGCTTTCCACCTATAGATTTTTTTGCCTAGAAAAAAACACACATATTCATCAGCAATGAGTTAGTTGTTCTGGTTTGGAAACAGAACTATCATTCTTCATGTCTATAGGAGGGTGCTGATGATCGCTAAAAATGCTATCATCAATTGCTCTTATTGAATAATCACATGAATGGGTAAGTGGGGTTGGAAGTGCACACGAGACGAACACCTTGAACTTGTGTCGTCGTGAGTGTTCTAAGTGCATGTAAAGTGCTTACGGCAATGTCTCTTACTTGAAATACTTGTTTTTATTGCTATTGAACTGTTAATTTTGGGATGAGGATGTACTTTATCATACTCGCTCTTTTGTGGCTTGATATTGATGATGAGATGAATTGCTTTGCTCGTACTTGACTTGCTAGTCGCTTGGGTGTTCATTCCCATCGACTTTCTTACATGCTTGGTGCCTCAACCCCATTGGTTAGTTGGTCAAGTTGAGTTGGCAAGGGATTGGTCGAGCACGATCAATGAATCAGGGGTCTTGTTACTTGAACTTGAACGTGCACGTGCACTTGAGCTCTTGAACTTGAACTGGTATAATCGAGTATTACCCCTTCCTAATTTTGGCGTGCGGGTCCGGTAAGGGTTGTACAGTGGATGGGAAAAAGCGTGAAGTCGTGATATACTTGATAGTATCTTGGAATATATTGACGGAGTATCAACGACATCTTGAATCTTGATCAAGCTACTGGAATAAACTCATGAGAGTCCCCGTATCCTTTTAATTGAATACGTGAAACCATAATTGAAGTATACTTGCTCCTTGTTGTAATGAATTATGATTTTTTGTGGCTTAAGTTTGATATCATTGCTTGCACAATTTTCTTGGAACCTCATGGGGCGAAAGCTCACCCCTTTTAGTTTTGTTTTCCTTACAGGGGCGAGCGCTTGGGCGAGTGACTAGGAGAGACCGAGTTAGGTCGAAATCTTTTATTTTGCACAGCTGTATCAACTTTTAGGTTGTTTTGTATGTTGGGAACTCGACCGTTGTAAATAGACGTAGTAGGGTATTTTGAAGTTTGTATCATCTATAAACTCATGCTTGGCTAAGGATTGTTTTATATTGTCATTGGAGATGTGGTTTTTGTTTTAAAAGATTGTTAATAAGTTGTCCATGAGTCTTGACGAGAGTTGGGCAGACAGCCCACTAACCCTTTTGGTTCACCTTCAGGGAAGGTGGGGTCGTCACACTCTCAACAACACTCAATTTGAACAAAGTGAGTTAGTGGATTGTTTCACCATTGAACTATCAAACAGTTACAGAAAAGAGAGCAATTAAACATTACACATCCAATGGTTCAAAGTTGACTCAAAATATCACAATTATTTAAAAAAAAAGCAAAAATGCCAAATGAATAGAAACCTTAAAATTTCTTTTCTGATTAAATATGTTTAATCTGAAATGATATTTCTTAGATTAAGCATTTCATTTTAATTGTGTAAAATACATTATATAGAGATCTTTCTTACCACCACACTTCTACAAAAGTATAAATTTTGTATTTTATTTTCATTGAAAGCTGAAATAATTTCCAAATCTATACAAAATAAATAAGATTGGATTTTGAATAGTCAACCTTATATTTATACTTAAATCTATTATGCTGACACATTTATCTAAAGTAATGATTCATAAATTTATTACTCGCATAATATATATCGGTATCAAATACTTCT